GCATTTAGAAGAAAGGTAGAAAGTTTTTTACACTATAAAATCTCATTCTAAATCACGTTTTTCCACTATAGAATCTCGTTCTAAGTTAGGTTTTTTAATAATAGATATTAGCAACATTATTACGAGTGAAATAAGTTTTTTGTCTCTATTCAGTGTTTTTAAAGTACAAACGATAGTTTCAAAACGGGGAGATTAAAAAAAAAGTTAACTGGTAAATGTCAAGTTCTCCTTATTGCGATAAAAAAATTAGAAACTATTTTAAAAATTAGAAAATAAATTAGAAAAAAAGTAATTTAAAAATTACCCCCAAAAAAAAAAAAAAATTATTATAGTTAATAGAGAAGAAAATAATTAGCTCTTATATTTATAAGGGTCATTTAACTTAATTCTATAATTCTCTTCATTAGAAACTACTAAAATTGCTTTCGGTTTTACGCAAGCAACAGATTCTGGCTTTAAAAAAATATATTAAAGGAAAAAGAAAGAGAAAAAAATAGAAAAAGTAACACACCCACCCATTCCCACCTCACACGAGCAGAAAAAAAATTAAATAATAAATAAAATTATAAATAGATCCATGAATGTATAATGGAAGAAAAAAAAAACTAGCCCAACACATATGCACACGTACGAAAAAAGCATGTACGTGTGTATAACTAAATATGTATGTATATATATATATATATATATATATATATATATATATATATATATATATATATATATATATATATATATATATATATATATATATATATATATATATATATATATATATATATATATATATATATAGAAGACACACCTTCGCATCAATAGAATGAAACTGCTTCTATTCTAGCGACTGCCGAACAAGTAGGGGAATTTTACGACTATAAAAAGCAATATCTTATTTTAGCAAAACCATTCTGCTTAAAGAGTTTAACTGCTTCAAGGTTAGTGGACCAGGAGGATAGACGTAATATTTTTTTTTCTTTGGCAGTGCCACTGAGCACATCCCACGACACAAACGCACGTGTGTAAATATATAAGAACATAACATACACGTCTGCACGTGTTTACCTGAATATATATACATATATATATATATATATATATATACATATATGTAAATATATATATATATATGTAAATATATATCAGTATATATAAACATACATATGCATATATATATATATTTATAGATATATATATGTAGTGAGAGATATAGATATATATAAATTATACAAGTATATTTTCAAACACACTTTCAAGTTATTACATCGTATTTAATAAGAATCGATAACAGACACAAAAAGTAAAAGATTTCCTTGAAATCACAAAACACTTGAGAAACCTTTAAGATATGTTATATATATATATATATATATATATATATATATATATATATATATATATATATATATATATATATGTATGTATATACATACATATATATATATATATATATATATATATATATATATTTAAAAGAACGGGTAATTTTATTTCTTTCATGTTAATTTAAACATCCAGTTAACTGCTTTGTTGTTACGATTATACCATTGATATCATTATTAAGATTTTTTTTTCCGTATTTATGGTTCATTGAATATATTTTCTGTCACGGCTTAAGTATTTGTTTACATATATTCACAGTGTATACACGTGGTTTAACGAAAAAAATAATCGACATTAGTGTAATTGCTGGAGTGAAGAGACAACTGAAAATCTTGCTGCTGCTGCTGCCGCCTAAAAGTCAAACACTAATGACAACAGCCGGAATAGTAGAAGCTACTAGCACTAATTTTACTATACAAATGCTACTACTAATAATAATAACAATAATAATACCGCAATGTTATCTACGGGACCATAACACTTAACCATTTGAATACACTATCTTATCCCTACAATCTACCTACTTACCTTACCTATCTATCTATCTATCTATCTATCTATCTATCTATCTATCTATCTATCAGCTCTGGGCGGATGAAGCCGAAACTGTGATATTGGGCCAGCTACACCAACCCCACCAGCACAATTATTTCACCTCCTCCACCTTCGCCTCATCTTTCTTGATCTCTACCACCAACTCCTCCTCCTCCACCTTTTCCTCGCCCTCCTCCTCCTCCTCTTATATATCTTTGATGTTGGTGAAAAGTTAAATGATGGATGACTGGCTGGTAACCTGTTACCTCATCTCTGGTTTACTCATACTCGCTATAGTGAAGTTTCTTATGCATGACGATTTGGCGTACCTGATTTACCCGGTGGGCCGCAAAGATCCTCTGCGTCGACCGCCGGGTCCACGAAGTTGGCCTCTCATTGGCAACCTGTTCCACGTGTTATGGAAACCTCTACACACCGCCTTAACAACCCTAGCCGAACATTACGGGGATCTGATGTGGTTACGTATGGGAGGCGATAATGTCCTGGTCATCAGCTCGATGGACGCAGCCCGTGAATGTATTCTAAAACAGAGTAAGACATTTGCCGGTAGACCCCGGCGTCGACAGACCGTCAAGACAATGCTAGGGGACGGACATGATATTGCAATGAGCGACATTGGCCCCGAACTGAAGTACTATCGTCGACAGGTGCACGCCTTCCTGGCTTCCCCGAACCGGGAGAGCCGGGCGCGGTTGGAGTATGTTGTCGTAATGGAAACTAGATCGTTGATGGATGACATGGATTCATTTGCCCAAAGTGGGGTGCCGTTCGACCCGTTCTTAAATGTGGCCAGAGTTGTGGCAAACGTACTTTGTCTGCGGACACTTAACAGACGCTTCGAGAAAGTGGATGAACCTTTTCTCAAACAATTGACGATTATACAGGACATTGTGGACAGTATTGAGAGTTTTCATATCGTCGATGTTTTTCCTTGGTTGCAGGTAAGTCGTTTTATTTAATCTGATTGAATTTTATTTAATTTCACTTTTTCTTTTTGATACACGCATACACGGGCACACATATGTTTTTCCAATAGTGTATAAGTTTTTATATTTTTATTTTAAAGCGTTATATCTTCAAGTATGTTAGAATT